GGAAAATATTTGAAGAATAATTGAGTTAATGCTATATATTTGTTCTATGTACACACAAAAAACCCTCATTCTCTCTCCCACCAGTATTTTTGGAATTTCACCTGGAGGATATTTTGCATCTTAATGAGTGAGCCCAATTGTAGCCTGAGATCTGTGCACCTAAGCCAACCACACCTACCATAGCTCAACAAAAGATAAACTTCAGAAGGAGAAGCCACATGTAGCATGAATGGTACAAAAGAGTTCCCTGCATCTTGATGATGGTGTACACCATGAGTCTGAACTCTCACAGAAGTTCTCCACTGTCACATCTATTTGAAGTTAATGGGTATTTGACACCTCTGGAGCTGAGGCCCCAGTGTAGACAACTGATAGACATCTCAGGGATCCCAGTAAGAGAATGAAAAAGTACGGGGAAAAGATCTACTGTTACAGTAAATTTATACAGTAACTTTTCTAGAAAGGAAAACTGCTAAAGTGAAGAGTTGTCACATGGATGGTGATAAGATGCCCATGGAGTCAGTTAATGCTCTGGGAGTGCTCGTCAGCCATCTGTTCGTTGACTTCCAAGTACCTAAGTGAGAAAGGTCTGTGCAGTGTTTGGGACAGCTTTGCTCAGGAAGCCATATGCAGCAGAGCTTTTATAGCTCAAAAAAAACCCCAAGAAGCCTTGTGAAAGCTAATGGGCAAATCACTTGCTCTACCATCAGTGCGACAAATGATGTGGAGGGAAGTTGACGTGCCCTGAACATTGCTTTGGATTGTAAGGCTTTATCTTTGATGCTGTCATTCCTCCCTGCAGCACTACCATACGCCGTACCTGCAGAAATCAATCTGTTCTCTGGCTTCAGTTTAATTATATATATATACACATCTGTCATGGAGGTGAACATCATTAAAAGTCTTGTGGTTTAGCAACACCTGGTTACTTGTGATTTTACTATGTCTTAAGAACTTTTTCAGGAATCAGTACAGAAATGTGAGGAAATTGGTTTGTCTAGTGGAAAAGAACAATGGAGATGGAAATGTAGTGAAAAGCATGCACGTGCAGCAGACTAATAACTGAAGTCTGGTTTTGTATTATTGACACTGTGGAATATGCCAAAATCAGGATTTTAACAGACAACCAAAAAGAAACAAATCAGCACACTATCTTGCAAATGCTCTAAGTCCTGCCTGATAAGCTGCTTTTAGAAAACTAAACTTTCCGATAATAAATACTGGCTGAAGTGTAAGACATGTGAAATCTGTAAGCATATTTTATGATAAAAGCATACTTAAATTTGTATATATGAAGAAATAGATATGACTGTGATGTGATTTGTCTTTTGTAATAGGCTATCTTCATCAAAAAGGAGAAGTACAGTAAACTGAAGCTGGAATTTGCCTCAATCTGAAAAAAAGGAAAAAAAATTCTCCTCCAAATACATTTGAATCCAAAATCTGTTACTGGTGTTTTTTAGTAAAGTTACAACACGGAAACCATCACAGCTTTGATTTCCAGGGAAGCTGATTTTGGAAAGTTGTAAATATAATTTAGAAAGCAATGTCAAAAATATTATTTCTAACACTGCTTTGTGAGAAAATGTAATTCTGATTTTTAAAAAGCATATGGTTATTGCTGTATCTCAGTTTATTTATTTAAAATGAAACACTTAAAATTTCAATAAAGGCGTAGGCCACAAGCTGCTGTACCTTGTTACAGTTTAAATGGCCAACATTGAAAAATAAATCATTATATTCTCAAAACTAGCTTTGAAGAAGTATATGAGGTTATGTATTTTATCCTTGCATGTTTACATGTTACATTACATTACTCTAGGGGGTGACCATAGGATTTTCATGCTAGCGTCTGCCTGAGTGGTGGTAGTTGCTCTTTGATACAAGCCAGCAACTGTCCACTCCTTTCCAAAACTAGTTCAGACCTGTCCTGCTGCCTTTACATGGAGTGTTAATAAAGACTTATTTAAAACTAATAGAAAGATACAAAAGTCTTCATAAAGTGAGCTACAACTTATGTGGTGAAGCTGTTACAAGAAGGGATGGCTGTCAGGCACATGGGTGAGCAGAAAGTCACTCATGGGAAGAACAAGCTGGCTCAAGTATCTTTAGGTGGATCTAAGCTGGCTTTTGTTACTTCAGATTTTGAAATTGTATGTGAATATGGAGATGAGGAGTGTTTATATGTGTATGTACATAATATTCTCAGCTACTTAGGTTTTTGTAGAAGACATCACAAGTTGGACAGTAGGAGGAGGGAGGAGGAGTAGAGGGAGTTGGGGGAGGGAGAAATGGAAATCTAGAAGTGGAATCAGGAGGTTATTAGAGCTTATCCAGTATGTGTGCTTAGTTAGATGTGAGTTGATTAAAAGGTTGAGCAGTATTAGTACTATATTAATACTCAAAAAACGTTGAAAGCGGCACTCTTTGGAGAACAAATTTCAGTCTTGCCTGAAAATCGGTACTGGATTGGTGCCAGCAGTTGCCATTCAGGTAGGGTCCCGCTGTCTCTAGTGGGGAATTCTCACAACATGCAAAGAACTAACACCATGAATTCAAGGGAAAATGTGGTGTTTTGAAGTGAGGTCAAACTAAGTGAAAGTCCAATGCTTTTCATTGCCAGTTGTAGATGTGCCTGCAGAAGGCCAACTGAGTATGCACTACATACCTGTTATTAAGATATATGCTTCAGATGAACTTCCAAGCCTCAATTTTCTACATGTAGTTATGCAGAACAATATTTAGAGGTGAATGTTAGAAGGGAGCATCCAGATTACACAGGAAAGTGCATTTTACATTTTTTCCATGTGAAGCTTCTGTTACACTTAATGTGTAAGCACATATGCATGTATGACCACATGCATTATACTTTTGAATTAATTTGAAGCAGTGGTTGCATGGATGTAAATACCAATGATCATTCTTGACATGTTTGGTTCACAACAACTATTCATAATCAGTCATGTTGAATAACTGATAATGTCATGCATTGTCTGAAGTTGTGTTTACTTTGGGAAAAAGGATGTTGAGTGTGACTGCCATGAAATACATTAAAGATATAAGATAGGCTTTCCTAGTCTTTGACATAGGTGAGAGACCGTCTCATTTATATGAGGTCTTGGTCTAATATCCAAATTTAAATCTGAGGAACGGATTTTAATACTAGTTCCAAGGTTTGTTACTTTTTGAAATTTACATGCTTTTGTACACCTATGGATATCCAATTCGTTTTGTTGTTTGTTTTTTTAATGTTACTTTGGATCTTTTACTTCTGTGGCATCCAATATCAGTTAGTTTCCTTAACTTAATTTCATGCTGTGTGAATAAGTATTGCCTTTTATTTGTTCTGAGTGTAGATGTTGTCATCTGTATGTTGCAGTCTGTGCCTGCAGCATCAAAGCTAAATATAAGTCCATGTTCTCCTTGTTTGGGTGAATAATTTAGGTTTTTTTTAATTGAAGGGGTTTTTCATGAAATCTTCACTTGATGTGTTTGTCATTATTTAGTTGATTTAGAAATACATTTACGTTAAATAAGTTTCTACTATAGAATCTTTAACACTGAAAGTGGTGTACAATCCAGATCTATACAGAGTACCTGTTATCTCAGTTTGAATTTGCAGATGGAAAGAAATCTGTCTACTTGTTAATATAGCAGTTTTTTTCCAGACACTGTAGAGTCAGTAAAAATAAACCTTTCCTGAGTTACTTTTCCCAATATATGTTTTGTTTGAAAGCACTATCATCAGTTGCTACATCAGCTGTACAAAACAGCCACTGTTGCTCTGCAAAAGGCTCAAGTGCTTTTTTGCTCCAAGACTTTTTTAGTCTAAATGAATTAGTTATCACAAAAAATAACCTCATTATCATAGAATTCTAATAACCTTAAATATTACATACAAATGTAATTCCTGTTGTGATTTGTCTGTAGAAAGCTACTTTCCCTAGTATTCTTGTGATTTAATTTTTTTTTCTAAACTCGCTTTAAAAAAAAATTAAGTCAGTATTACTCTTACAGCTTAATTCATTTTCTGAATGAAAGAGAAGCCTTCCTAATAGATATCTTAATTGAAACCCCATTTCAGTTTCTGACAAAACAAATGAACTCTTTGTTATAAGCTTTTAATATTACTTAGGAAGGACCACAGCCTTTTTTTTTTACCTGCTAGTAAATTGAGAATGACTTTTTTAATGAATGCTATGCTGAAAGCTGGTACTTTTTTTAAAATGACTCAATATTTAATATTTCATAAGTTTTTTAACTTCGTGTTGCATAAGATAAGATCAATGTTTGCAATGAGTGTTTCAAATTATGTCCTTTTATGAAAAGGACATATCTGGAGTTTTAAACATTTGTAAGTTACAATAGTTGAAATTCATGAAAGTCACTAAAGCAAGTTATCTGTCAGTCAATAACCAAGGAAAAGGACATAACTAATTCTGTAGTCATGTATCACTTGCTAACTATGACAAGAAAACAGGACAGTATCAAAACAAGCAACCCTTCCAAGACTTGGCTACCTTATCTAGACTGATGAAACAGTTATTTTTCTCCAGGCTTTTCTTCTAAAAACATCTCTTGTATTATTAGGTTTTGTTGATGGGATGTTCTGAATTGCTTCTTCTTAAAGGTGCGACTGCATTTGACACATCAATACCAGGTCATTTGGTGTCTTATCCAATGTCCACCAAGACAATTGGAAGTCCTTTTGTTTAGTTCATTTAATTTCAACTTAATCCCATGCTGTTTGTAAAATATGGCAATGATATCAATAGCTCCACTTGCATATATATATATATACACACATATATATATATGCATTTATTTTTTCTTAGAAATTATCCCCTGTGTTTTGTGTTTTCACCTGTTGTGTGTAGAGAATTTTCATATATATCAGTATTATCTGCAGACCTGAATGAGAATGGGAGCATAGACACCACTGAGCCTCCACTCTTTATGCGTCAGAAAAATCTGCTAACGTTATTTTTTGTTTATTTCAGGTTTCTTTTCTCCATGGAAAACTCCAAAGCCTGTAAGTTTCCTTTCAAAATTATACACAGTGAGTTCATAAGATGACTGTCATTTAAAGCAAATTTCTATAGACTTTCATTTAACCCTCCTGTTCCCACCTCATGAGGCATCTCTCAGCAATGCCCCAGTTCCAGGTGAGACAGCATCAGGAGTGGCCTCAATAATAAGCTCTGCAGATCTGTTGACTTGGAGTCTGCCAGCAGCAGTCTGCAGAAAGGAACATCTCAATGTTAAGATGGGTGTTCAAGAACCAGAAATACAGTGGCTCAAAAATAAGGCGCCTGGAGGAGAAGGCAACAGAAGGCCCCAGAACTGAGGCCAATCTAGTTGGCCTTCTACTTGGTGATCTCTTTGAAATACACAACATGCACTTTTTTCTGGTTTACAAGTGGCTTGAGCTTAACATCTTTAAAGTGTTCATTATTCTTTCTTGCATTACTAGATCTAGAGCTGGAAATAGTCAAATTTCGAGTGAGAGCTTGGACTAGGTAACTTCCTGATGTGCCTTCTAACCAACATTTCTTTGTTTCTATGATTTTGACATTAAATCCCAAAGTATGAAGAACTTTCCTACTGTAAGACTGTAAGCAATGACTATTTATTCTGTTCATGCAACAATATGGTTTTTTGAAGTTGTGACAATTTTCACAGTGTAAAAAGAAATCATATAGCTACTATTTTTGGTTGTCTGGTTTGATTTTGGTTTTTTTTTTAATTTGGCTTTTTTATTTAGATTGTAAAGACCTTAAGATAGTGCTTATCTCTCATCAGATGTGTGTAGAGCGATAAAGAGCCCTGACTGCCTGCAGGCTTCTAAGAGCAATAGGAATAACGAGAGCATTTTGTGCAGACACGGTACATGCATGCAGGCTAACTGTTCACAGCTACTCTATTTTCGATTAGTCTCAGCAAGAGAGCTTACAAATGCTTAACCAGGTTTCGGTAGTACGCACTCCTCTTGTCACCACTTTAACTAGAGTAATAATCAGACATAAATTTCTACTGCCCAAGAGGTGAAGATTAAATGGAAACCCAGTGCCCCTGAAGCATGGAGTGTCCACAGAGATTCTGAAGCAGTAAGGCCAGCACTGGGAGATACAGAAAGCCTTCCCAACACCACAGCACAGCCCTGTGGGTGTGTAACAGGAAAGAAAAACTAGATGGCCCCAAACTAGGTTTCTTTTCTGCTTGGGTGACTTCTGCTGCCCCCGCAGCTCTCTGGCTGCACAGGGAAGAAGCACCCACCATTTTTTAAAGCAAAAAGAGGACCATGGGCCATTGGCTGGAAGAGAAGAGGCAAGCTCCTCTCCTTGAGGCAGGGGCCCAGGGATGGTGTGCACTGCGTCTCAGTGTGCTCAACATCCCAGAGTAACCTGACCTGACAGAAATTTTCTGTGGTTTCTATGTATATAGTGCATATATTATGTATATAATATGCAACACAATTTTATTGGAGCAAAATTAACTTCAGCAATGCTACCAAACCATTACCCCAACTTAGATTTGTTGCCCTGAACTCAATACTATTTTAGTATTTGGAAATACTCATTTCCAAGATGCCTTCATCTGTGAGCTAACATTATGATAACTCAAATTGCAAAACAGTGCTTGACTATTTAATTAATTGATATGGGTTTGGGAGATATAATTCCCCTTGTGTTTATCTGTCCATGCAACTATTTATGCTAGCAGCATTACCCACAAGTAAGAATGTTTTTCTCGGTTTTTAACTTCACATTTAATGAATTAGAGGTAACTAGCAAGCAAGAATTAGACATATGGGACCCAGTAGGGTTATGCCAATTGATCTCCAGTTTCTTGAACTTCCTTCAGGGAAAAGTTTGCTCATCAAAGACAATGATATTTTCCTTTCTGTTTTTAAAGCCTTCTTGAAATATTTTAATTTTATTCAGTTTCACACTTTGAAAGAGGTGAGTGTGATATCTGTCTGGCACTGTCAAAAAAATTAGGGATCTTTCACTTCTAGATGAACAGGGCCTGCATGTCTTTCTACTTCATAGTAGATAGTTTGGATTCACTGACTTGTATTTTTCTTAGATTCCTCACTGAAGGTAAAACCTAAACATAATTCTCCTTTTATTTTTCTTTATCATAAGTTACTGGTATTAAGCCCAGTTCTCCTTTCCTATTTAGACATAAGGGTCATAATCAGGTTTCTTTCTGGAGACCTTTGAATTTACACTTCAATGATACAATGCTGTGCTGTATGTATGTTTATATATACCCAAGGTAATTCCTTTAGAGCAAGAACAGCTATCAGAAGTATTATTGTGACATTTATGTGAATTACTAAACAGACTAATTTATCCAACACAGATTATAAACTTGGTGTAAAGGGTATCTGAAGGTGCCCTTAGTTACTTTTCCATACCTAAGCTATTTTGATGATGCCGTGGTTTAACTCCAGATAGGAACTAAGCACCACACAGACACTCGCTGTCTCCCCTCCTAGTGGGGTGGGGAAGAGAATCAGAAGGGTAAAAGTGAGAAAACGTGGGTTGACATGAAGACAGTTTAATAGATAAAGCAAAAGCCACACAGGCAAGCAAAGCAAAAGAAGGAAGGAATTCATTCACTAATTCCCATTGGCAGGCAGGTGTTCAGCCATTTCCAGGAAAGCAGGGCTCCATCATGCATAAAGGTTATTTGGGAAAACAAATGCCATCACTCCAAACGTTCCCTTCTTCCTTCTTCCACCACCTTTATATGCTGAGCATGACACCACCTGGCATGGAACATCTCTTTGGTCAGTTGGGGTCAGCTGTCCCAGCTGTGTTCCCTCCCAGCTTCTTGTGCATTCCCAGCCTGCTCACTGGTGGGGTGGAGTGTGAAGCAGAAAAGGCCTTGAATCTGTGTAAGCACTGTTCAGCAATAAGAAAAACATCCTTGTATCATCAACACAGCACAAATCCAAAATATAGCCCCATACTAGCTACTATGAAGAAAATTAATTCTATTAAAACCAAAACCAACACAGGTGACATCTCAGGTGTCTCCATATGTATCGCACAGGTTCGACATACCTATAGAGCACTCCTATATCACATCCGAGTTGCTGTCTTTTGTATCTGACCCAAAATAAATGTGCCTTTCTTGAACAACATTGGCAAATATTGAATACAGTATTCCATATCTTCACCATTAGCAATTCATAGTACTACTACTTTCCTTTCTCAACTTAAACATCATATCTGATGCATAATAGTGCATGTAAGTCATCCTATGATTGACTGATATACCTAGATCTTCCTTCTCTTCATTGTTGCTAATGAACCAGCCCTACTTACTGCTGAAACTCTGATGGAAGCACAGCTTGAATTATAACACTACTCTGTATAAAGGAGGTCTTCAACAGCTTGAAATGGACAATATCCATTTTCTGTTTATTTTGAAGTAGGAAGCTAAGAGTGTCAGAACACCTGGGATGTGCAGAGTGATAGTTACTCAGCATGTTCACCAGGAGGACTCTAAAACATCTGTAGTCCACACATACTTGGTGTGGAAAAAGCCTGATGCTGTTAATCATCAAAATAGAAAGCAAAGCCTACCTGCTGAGCCAAACAGCTTCTGAAACTGAGGAACTAAAGGCAAAGGATAATCACAGAATTTGTAGGGCAAACCTGTGGTAAACCTTCAATCATCTTTGATAAGGCACTGCTGATACAGTACTAGAAGTTGCTGGTACTTAATTAAAGTTCAGTTTGCTTCCAATAGTAATTTTTTGTGTAATTAAGTGATTGTTGGGTTATGTGCAAGAACACACTCTTCTGGAGGCTTTACCATACTCTGCTTCAGAAGGAGTCACAGAAAAAGCCAAATATTCATTTCCTGGTGTAAACATCTGTTTTGTGTAACTTAGCCTCTTTAAATTTATTTGCTAATGCAATTTAATTAGTAGCCAACTCCTTCAAAAATTAAAATGCAGATCACCAAGGCTTCTTTTGCACAGTCTATTGTATTATCTCCTTTCTAGCTTGATGTACTTGTGAGACTACTAAGGGCAATCTTGGAGAAAATCTTGGATTAAGCTTTCATGCTTTCATGTGTAGACAATACACTGCGATGTACTTCTCTACTCTAAAAGGTCTGGAAGAGTTGAAAAGCTAATCCTGTGCTTAGGAGTTTAGTTGGATGATGACAACATTTTTTATATAAGAAAGAAACAGTAAGAAATGAGAAAGACTGCATCAGACTAATGCATACTTTTCTCTCACCATGTTCTATACTTTATCACTGGACATTCAACTATCACTAGATGCTCAAATACCTGCAGTAATAATTTTCCCTTTGGGTTGGAAGGGTTTTTTTTCTGTTCAATTGAAGCTGTGAATTCTGCTCACAGTTACAGTAATCTGCTTCTCCCTGGGCAGCTGGCTGTTTTCATATGTTCTCAAAAGATACAACATTAAGATCATTCAGTTGCTACCCTCTCTGGCCACTCCTTTGACAAGCTCTACTTTCAGTTATGTCTTTTGATGAATCTGATAATTGTATCTTCACAGACCCACAGATTCTGCCTTTAGCAAAATAACTTTCAATAGCTCAGTGCATTCTGGGAGAGGCACTCAACAGGCCTCAGGGGTAATGCTCAACCCTAGTCCATATGAGGTCATACTATCTGAGAAAGATCACATCTTCCCATAAGCAACAAACAGCGCAACACACTCCTTTCATCTCAAATGACAGCAAGGTGATTTGCTAATTTTACAAAATACATCTTTAACTGAAATCAGTGTCTTTGGTCTCATTGTTGAAATCACAGTTTTTGCAAAACTTCATCTTTATTCTCTGTATGATTTTATTCCAGATGATGGAACGATGGGAGAATCAAGGCAGCCCTCAAACAAGCCTGTCTGCTCCAGCTATGCCGCAGAATATTCCCTATCCACCCACTCTTCACAGGAGTTCATTTCCTGATTCAACAGAGGCCTTTGATCCACGGAAACCTGACCCATATGAGCTGTATGAGAAATCAAGAGCTATTTATGAAAGTAGGCGTAAGTGAAAGCCCTGTTCACCCTGCTGACCATTTAATATTTTAAGCTTTTGCCTATGAATGAGTCACTGCTAACATATTTTTCTGTAATTATCTTTCATAACTTAAAGAAAGCAACTATAATTCCAGTAATAGAGGCCATTATAAATTATTCACAATTTCTACTCTTATACATTTTCCTACATCTTGCCTAGATTCTGAAGTTTGATTTTCATAGATTTTTACCCTTATATTTTTGCTTTTCTCATTTTGACTGCTAAATCCTTAGTGAAGAACAGTCTATGTGTCACCACATTTTGCTGTGCTATTTTCTTCATAGTTAATAAATAGGAGGACATGAATATATCAGTACAAAATTGTTTCAGTAACTTTCACTTTAAAGTGAAGTTTATTGAAGAAACTTCAGATTCACTTGGTTTTATAAAAATGGCTCTGACAAGTTTTCATAGTAGTTAGGATAATAAGTACTATTTGAAGATTTATACAAAACGGTACTGAGCCATCAAGATTCCCATCTTGATTTTATTTTTCACGTTTTTGAGGGTGTGCCACGTATTTTACACAAAGGTATAAGGAGTTAAACATATTTACTTCTTATCGTAAAGAACATTCTAGCTAAAAATGTTATTCTAAATTGTCCAGAGACTTTATGCTCATTAAGCTTTGAAATAGTTTGGTTTTTTAATGAAAGTTTTTTCATAGCAGTTATTACTTGCACGTACCACCTTTCAATTCATTTTATAAATTACTTTAGCCTATAGACCAAATTACTTTATAAATTACACCTAAAATATTGCACTGCAGCTGATCCAGATTAACCTATTAATATTAATTGGGCACTGAGACATAGAGATAAACTTAAACTTTTATAATCCATGAGCTGGAATGTACGAATTTCTTTGTCATGCAACGTGATAGTCTAGCTGGTGAGGGGTCTGGAGCAAAAATCTTATAAGGAGCAGCTGAGGGAACTGGGACTGTTTAGCCTGGAGAAGAGGAGGCTCAGAGGAGACCTACACAACTACATGAAAGGAGGTTGCAGCGAGGTGGGTGTCTATCTCTTCTGCCAAGTAACTAGCAATAGGACAAGAGGAAATGGCCCCAGATTGCACCAGGGGAGGTTTAGATTGGATCTTAGGAAAAAATTATTTACTGAAAGGGTCGTCAAGCACTGGAATGGGCTGCCCAGGGAAGTGGTGAAGTCACCATCCCTGGAGGTATTTAAAGACATGTAGATGTGGCAAATATGGACATGGTTTAGTGGTGATCTTGGCAGTGTTAGGTTTACAGTTGAACTAGATAATCTTAAAGGTCTTTTCCAACTGAAATGATTCTATGTTATTGTCCCAGACACTGATGTTGCCGCTGTTGCTTGCCTTGGCCCTTTAATTACAGCATCATCATCTGTCTGACTTTGGTATTTCCAGTCCCCAGTAGGATAGATATGCTGGAGGAATACCAGAGTTAATTTTTCGTTAACTCTAACCTAGTTCCTAAATTACATCTCAGATTCTTCAATTATTTGCCACTGTGGCCAGTGCCACCATCTTCTGCCACTCTGGTCCATTTAGTGGAACTTCATTCAGTAGAGATTGTTATCGTAAAACTCACTTTCCATACTGCAGACCTTTTTTCATTTTGTTTTGTTGGTTTTTTTCTTTAATAGATGCCTGAAATTAAGATAGCAAGTTTAAAACTAAGTACTGAAACAAGTACTGGTTTTTTTCAGCAATATCAAGTATCTTATTCCCCCTAACTATGGATTTGAGAACTTATGTTAGACACCGCATAAAAAGTATTTGAATTATAAACTTTTAGGTGCAGGAACTGATCTTGGCAGTTTATTTACAAGCACCACATAGCCAATGGTGGCTGCAATTATTTAC